GAATTGTTGCAGGATATAGTTGGGGAACAGGGGACTAAAAATCATAGATATCATGTCTTAAGTTATTTAATTTAATCAAAGTACTTTTAGGCTCAGAAGCGTAACAGAAGAAATTTCCATCTACCACTTTTTCCTCTGCTTTGCTCGAACTCTCAGGCCACAGGTCATTCAGACTATAAAAAGCTCCTACAAATTCCACAGAAACGTGATCAAGCTTACTTGGGTAAGCTTTTATTGGGTAAATGGAATTTCAGCTCCTCTAACTGTGCATACCACCTGAACATGATGGCAGAGTGATGGATCAGGGCAACTGCCAGGACTGTTCTCCCACCCGCCTCAGTTGTACTTCTCTCTCAATTATTTTAACAAAGGCTACCATGAGAGAAACGGCTTATTCTTTATAAACTCAACTCGACAAGGAGCCTAAATAAAATTTTCAATAAATCTCTTTTTCCCCTTTTATTGCGGGATAGAGAAACTTTTTCTGTAAAAAAAAAAACAAAAAAAACAAAACTCATTCTCCCTTCTTCACGAATTATCCATTTCTTCAATTAACTGGACAAGACATCAAATACACAACTGCAACTTCAACTCTGACCAACGTCCCAAAACACCTCCTAAGGTTCAATCTTTCCCAGGCCTGAGGAGAATAGAAGTCACAAATTATACTAATCCAAAATATGGGCTACTTTCCCAGAAAAGTCATAAATGTTCAAATATATGGTTAAAACCATTAAACAGCTCAATAAATAAAAAGAAACTGCCTGTTAGTGAAATAACAAAAACATCCACAAAAAGTATACAAATTAGCTAAGATTTTAAAAGTTCAATCTGAGCTTTGGAACAGGGAAATGAAACTTCAAATGAAAAGCAAGAGAGTCTGGGCTTTGGAGTCAAACAGATTAGAGTTCTGTTAGCTCCATCACATTACTGAATGTGTAACCTTAAGACAAATTCCTTAATTCCGAAACTCTTGTTTCCTCAATAAAACAAAGAGAACACCACCTATCTCTGAGAGCTCTTACAAGGATTAAGTAAAATAGTGCATGCAAGGTTCTAACACAGTGCCTGGTATATAGCCGGAATACATAATAATGTACTACTCCTAATTTTCAAAAGGCTTAATCAGACACTCATTCATAAAGAAAGCAGGACTTAACAGGAAAAAACTTGTTAGCTGGACAGAGCAGAAGAGCATATTCTTAGGTCCTTCAGATTTATTTATAACTTTAAAAATAAGAATACATTTTTTTTTAAATAAGGATAAATTTATCAGACTGTCAGTAAATTATTGATGTGGAAATGCATCATTGATCTTGGAACACTTTTTTATATATAAGATACTCTTCTTCCTTATAATTTTACAATTTTTTTTCCCATGTCCTATTCCTAGAACTCTGACTCAGACCCTCTTCACTTTGGTTTTGGAGCAACCTAAACCTTAGGCCAGACAAGCATACCTTAGAGTTCAATAAGTATTCTGAAAGATTCTGGGCAAAGACCAGAATCCTGCATCTAAAAATTTAGAAAGAATCAGTGTGGTGTAATAAAAAGGACATGGGCTTTGGAAATAGGTAAAGGATTAAAACAGATTTGAGTCCTATCTCTGCAACTTACTAGATACACAACCTTGGGCAAGGCACTTTATCTCTCAGGACCTCATATCTTTATCTGTAACATGGAGATAATGCCACCTATATCTCAATGTGTTGTTGTCAAAATTAGAAAAATGCATATAATAGCTCCTGGAATAGAAAAGGCCAATGAATGGTAAATCATATTCAGATCAATCTGCCAACTGTCTTACTGAACATTTTGTAAGGCTGTACTTTCCTAACTGGCAAAAGGAGTCATACTGTTCCCACATTCCCATGCCTATAACCAAAAGGTTCCATTTTAGTAATCTATAATTAACCAAATCAAGAGCTTAAAGAATTCAGGGCAAGAAAGAACTAACATGGCTCAACTCATTCTCTGCTGACAGAAACAAATCCAGTGTAAAGTGGATACGTTTGCCAAAAAAAAAAAAAAAAGTCTGCTTGAACATGATCATTACCAATACTGATGTAAGCACGAACCTGCAGTTCTTGGGCTTGCAGCCTTACTGTCAGAAAGTCTGAACTCTCCTGAAATAAATCCTCGCATGTCTTATTTTCCTTGCTGTGCTATGACACTCTTACTAACCCACTTTTAAGAACACAGGAAAGAAATCCTCTCAACTATTACTACTGCATTCACTTGGAATTTATCTTTCTATTTCACAAATCACTGCTTACAGAGATTTTTGGTTGGGTTCACTTGATAAGAGCTTATAAAGAAAGACATTAATACAAATTTATGATAGCCACCATGACAAGATCTGGTCTCCATAGCACCACAAGTTACAAGATAGAGGCAGGAGCCAAAGATAAGATGTGACTAAGTAACCTGCATACCATATGTTCATTCTTATTAACTACTGCACTTGGGAATTCTGGCTCTTATAAAAAGTTTATTTCCCTTGTGTGGCTAAGCAGAGTAACAGAAGAAAACTGATGACAAATACATGAATAGTGCAAGGGAAACCATCAACAAAAAAATGTGACTTAAGATAAATAAGCTTGTATGTGACAGTTACAAAGTAAAAGCAGTAGTTACCAATTACACAGCCAAAGGCAGCTATTTCAAGCCCCAGTTCTCCCAGTCCCTCCCTACAGTAAAAGCAGAAGGGTGCCAAGGTCATAATGATTATTTAAATAAAAAATCTAAGAATCAAGAAAGACTCAACAAATCAAAATGTCACACTGCAGTCCCTTAGTGAGGTGACTTTCAACTGGGGGAAAGAAGGGCAGTCTCTTGCACTTATTTTAATTGAGTCAATTCAATATCAAGAAAGTTAAAGATTCTGTCCCCAAAATGGAGTTCAGCAATGCCTTTAGTTGTGTCATACAGCTGTATCTTTGCCCAGAGCTTCAACTGTTTAACTTCAGCAAAAGTTGTTTTCTGGTTGCAATTAACATTGTAAGGCAAGCTCAGCCCTGTCTTCCATAGCCTTGAGGCTGCTGAGTAAATCTAGAATCATGGAACCTACATTCTGATGTTAGATAAACAGGAAGAAGGTGGTTCTTGACAAGGAAAATGGTCAAGAAGCACATCTAGATTTAAGAAAAAACAGACTGATATGCTGGCCTGTGATTTTTTTAACTTCTTTGTATAGAATCTATTGAATAGGGCATACCTTTCAGGAGAGGTCACAAGGGCATGCACTTAAATCATGATGGGAGGACAAATAAAAGAAAATCATCCTTAATAATAATAGCTACCATCCCTTAAGCCCCTAGCATATGAGCCAAGTTCAATGCTAAAGACCTTTACAAATATTTCTAATCCTCAATCATTATTAATATCCTCATTTTATACAAGCAGAAATTAAGACTCAAAGAATTTAGAAATGGCTAGTTAGTGAAGATACTAGTATTGAAACCCAGGTCTGCCTGACTGTAAATCTCATGCCCTAAAAGTAATTTGTTAAACTCTATTATCCTCAAGAGATCTAATCAAATTACAGATTTTACACGAAAAGATCCCTAATCACAGGAAAAAGATTAGGCCAAAGTTATAAAGCAACTCAACCAGTCAGAAATGTTTCAGATTTCAGGACACATATCTAGGTACTACCAGCCCCTAGAACTTGTGCTGCCTCCTACAACTCCTCCCCAACCCCAGAGGAGTTTCCTACTGTAAATGACATGGACACTGTCCTAAAGCATAATTAAACAAATTCCTTTAGTCTTGCATCTGACATCACCTATCTCCTACATCTAGGGAATTAGAATGAAAGGGTTATGTCCTTTACACCTTAATCATGAGACTATTACAACAAAAGTTAGGCTGAATCCAGAGTTCCAATTCAGCTGGGTCTTACAGTGAAACCATCAGAGACTTCACATCACTTTACTGCTGTTCTGACAAAGCAATTAAAAACCATACACAACAATTAAAAAAAAACATAAATCACTATGTTCATATTATGTCTTGGAAATTAAGAGCCATAAATCCCTCTTTTTACGATCCGTCTTTGTCTTCTCCAACATTTGCCCCCTTTTTCCTGTGCTGATTTAGCTGTGGAGAGGAGAGACACACCACGGATGGCAACTGTAAGGGTAATACTGGAGTATCACACATCTAGACTCACTTCTTGGTGTTCTCAGACTATACTGGCTCTTCAGAGCTGTGTCTGGAAGAAGCTGAAGAATGAGACAGCCTCACAATGACTGCCTTTCCCCAAAGTAGAAGCGTTTCTTCCTAACACTTCCAGATCATAATAAAGGAACCAATGAAACAATCCTTCTCTCCGCAGTCTAATAATCCTGGTGGCCAACTACTAAGCAGAGGGGACGAATCTCGGAAGAGAAAAGAGTGAAAGAGACTCTCTCCATTCAGAGAAGATGCAAGGATACTGCAGCATCTGGAACGAAGGGCACAGCATCAGTACTGCTCTACGGAAGCGGTTGGCCACAGAAAGGCAGAAAGTCATCATCTGTACAGAAACCAGGCGACAGGATTTCAATGCGAGGTTAACTACTGCTTACTCGTTCTCTAAATAGAAAAGATGTGTCCACCCTTATTGCTGGGTGAACTCTCAGAAGCCGTAAGGTTTATCTATACCATCGGGGTCTTCTCTCTGAATAGTCTGGAATATAACACATGGGAGTGTGCTGGGTCCGGGGGCGAAGGATAGTATTAGGTGCCTCCCCTCCCCTGCCTATTCCAAGTAGTAGCGGAGAGCGCTACCTCCATGTTACTCATCGCGAAGTACGGCCGTGCCACCGGGAGTCTTCGTTCCCCAGCACCGGGGGCAGGTGAGGGGATCTGTGAGAGCGCGGATCTGAGGGGAAAGGGGCTCTCTCGGCTAGTAAGATCGGAAGAGAGGGCGTGGAGGGTGGTGCTGCCATGCCGCGAGGATCTGCGGTTCCCCTCCCTCCTCCCTCTCTCCGCGAGAGGCAGCCCGGCCCCAATACCTTCTTGACTGTGCGCGGCGCCTCGGTGACGGTGCCGTCGGGGCTAACCAGGGCCTCGCCGCCGTCGCGGTGCCGCTGGTGCTGGTGATGAGGGTCGCTCCGCTTCATGGCCGACGCCTGAGGCACTTTCCCGGCGGCAGGGCTGAGAGCGGCGGCGGGCCCCGAGCCCGGGCCGGGGGCCGGGGGCCGCTCCGCGGCGGGAGCTGGAGCCTCAGGGTCCCCGCCGCCTGCCGGGGGGGGCCATGGCGCTCACAGCCGCGGTGCTCAGTCCCAGTTGCGGCTCCGCCTCGGAGGGGCTCAGGTCCTTCAGCTCCACCTCAGGTACCTTCGCGGCAGCCGCTGCTGACACGACCTGCACCGACATCACCGCCTCTACTGCAACCGCCGGCTCAGACTCCAGCTCCGGCTCCCGCTCGGCCCCGCCTCCCACCTCCCTTCCCCTTCCCTCCCCCATTCCCCCCCTCCTCCCCTCCATCGCCTCCGCTCCCACCCCCTTCCTCCGCCCGCTCGCGGGCCAGCCAGCCCCGACCTCTCCCGCCCCACCCCGCCCGGCCCCGCCCCGCCCCGGCCTGGCCAGGCTCAGCTCGCGCGCGAGGCGCCACGGAACCTGTAGTGCGCTTGCTCCGGGCAGCACGCGGCCAGAAGACTGTGGGACCTCAGCCCCCGACCTACACAGCGAGCCGGCGGGGGCGGGGCCCGCGATGTCTCCTGGGAGCCGTAGTCCTAATGGTCCTGCTTCTGGCTAGTGGGATTCTGTAAGAGAGATGGAGCTCTAGCACCCGCGACTAACGGAATGGAAAGGAGTGAGATTACATGACACGACGTAAAGGATGAGGAAGAAAGTCTCCTCAGGAGCTGCGGCTTCCGGGAAAGGAAAGCCAGGAACCCTAGGGTTGGAAAGGTGGTGGGGGAGAGGAATGACTCCCTACCCTGACAGCCAAGAATTTCCTCTGGCGGCGAGCGTCTGTGATCACGTGACCCGGCATTTAAAGGAAAAGCGGAGGCGTCACGTGGAGAGAGTGCGGGCCCAAGGCTTAAAGAGGCTTGATTTTTCCATTTCTTTGAAGTCGGTACCCCAACACACCTTTCCGAATTTTAATGGCTGTGTTTGTATAAGGAATAAAAATAGGACCTTACCTGCTGTGGCAAATCCTGGCGCGTTTTGAGTTTGGAAGTTTCAAATCAGCCTAAAAAAGAAGTTAGGTATCGCCAGGTCCAAATTTCAAAACTGAGGAATAATGCATAGCCTTAAGCAAGACCAAATCTGATCTATTAATTCTTCTGGGAAAATAATGTAAAATTCGGATAAATACATAACCAGAGAGGCATTAACTACAAAATGAACAGTGAGTTCCTTAAGTGATGAGATTTGAGACGACTTTTTACTTTGTAGTTTTACGGGGTTTTTTCGAGGTTTTAGATTGTTTATTGATGTCAAAGTAGGTTTGGCAGATAAAACTTTTGTTTTATTTTAAAAGCTATAAGCACAAAGACGTGTAGCGGTTTTATTTTCAGTAACAAAAAGGTTTTGAAACTACTTTAATGACCAGCAATAGGGATGGTTACAGCCTTTAAAATTAAGTCTGCCAGGAACATTTTTTAATGATGGAGAGAAATAAATGCTTATGATTAGATAATATGCTAAAAAGCACGATGCAAAATTTCACATTCCATAAGATTTTACTCTGTAAATAATATTTGAAAAAAATACACTGGGGCCTGGATGGCTCCATCTCAGTTAAGTATCTGTCTTCTGCTTAGGTCATGATCCCAGGGTCCTGGGGTCTCACTTCCTGCTCAGCAAGGAGTGTGCTTCTCTTTCTCCCTCTGACACTACACCCTCTCTGGTGCTTGCTCTCTCTCACTCTCTCTCAAATAAATAAGTCCTGATAAAAAGAAAAAAAAAATCCTAAAATGCAATTGACTGACAGATTATGGGTTAGGTTATTTATTCTCTATTCTCAGGGAAACTGAGGCAAGGGGGAATCTTACAGTGTATGGTTGTTCAGAGAGTAGGCAGTAGCTCTGACAATCACAAAAGACCTCTGGGCATCTAGCCTTTACAGTAACTTAAATTTTCCCTGGCAAAGAGAGGCAGAAATCATCTGCCTTGATCTCCTACTTCCCTGTGCTTCAGCTGTCTTGGGAAATCTGTTCATTTGTGGAGTTGTTTTACCCTGAATGGAGTCTTTTGTATCCTGGTCTTCAAATTTATGCCTAACACTATGCGTTGGAAGACATGTGAGCATTGCCATTTCCAGAAAGCCCACAAGTCCACCAGACCCAAGGGCTTCTTAAGGTTTCTTTTCACACTGTGGCTTTTAGAATTTCCTTCCTGTTATAAAGAAACAGCCCAGAGCTTCATCCTCCAGCTGTCGGAGCAGAGATTAGCAGCTCTATAACTGATTTCTTTCTTCCCCCTAATACACAAGGGACCTGTGGTACAACCACCTGGCATGTGTTGGAGCTCATAGACAGCAGCTGCCTACCTGGACTGCCACTAGAATTGATTACTGAAGGGAGGAATTAATTCCTCAGTGGGATGTGGTTACAAAACCTAAGGAGTTGGAATGCTGGCGAGAAACTCATATTCATCCTTTATTTATCCAGGCACCCTCCGATGGTCAGGACCAAACACGAGGTCACACTCCTCAGCCATTCCCAACTCTATCCTACACACCTGCTGCTCCTGCCGTCTTTGTTACTGAGGGACACCAGGCACAGTTTGAAGATGGAAATGCCATGCTGGATACAGGATGCTTAAGCACAAGTTTATGAAAGATTTATTTGGTAGTTTGTTTTTCCAAGTTCAAAAGATACAAGAGTATTTTATGAAAAGTAAATCATCTTCAGTTCCTCTCCCTGCAGGCAACCAGTTAAGTTTCATCTGCATCTTTCTGGAAATATTCTATATGTTTATGTATGTATTCTCCTTCTCACAAGTAGTAGCCAGGAGCCTTGCTACTTTCACTCAACAATGGAGATCGCAAACCCAGGGTATTATGTAAAATTGGAAGGGTCCTCTAATCCTCACATTGTAAAAATAATGAGATGAATAACCGAAGTTAAAATGATTTACTTAGAGTCCTTTCAAATTTAAAAGCAGATTCAGGAGCAGAAGTCAAAGTTCTAGATACTGCAAGATCACCTAACCGATAAGAAGTATGGGATTGGGGAGTCACTGAGTACATGTGGTCCATGACTTCCCACTGGGTATGGAGGGTCTTGTATTTCTATATGTCACTCTCCTTCCTCTGGATCTTAAAGCTTCACTCAAATGTCCAGCCAATGCTCCACCAAAATTTCTTCTGTGTTTGCAAGCTGCTTGTTGAGATAGTCATCCACAGATCCCAGGTAGCCTTTGTACTCCATTTCTGATTTAGGTTTCATCATACTGCCTTTCCTGTTGTTGTTGTTGTTGTAAAGGTTTTATTTATTTATTTGAGAAAGAGAGTACCAGCAGGGGAAATGGAAGAGGGAGAAGCAGGCTTCCTGGTGATCAGGGAGTCCGATGTGGGGCTCGTTCCCAGGACCCCAAGATCATGACCTGAGCCACCGGCAGTCACTTAACCGACTGAGCCACCCAGGCACCCCTGCCTTTCCTGTTAATCCATTCAGGAAAGGTTTGGGATTAAGGGACCAAATCATTGCAACTACAAGCAAATGGTGTAGGCCACTCACTGACAACTGAGCTCTAGTCTGGCCTTCGTGGCTGGAGTAGCCACTGCCGTCACTTTATGAAATATTTAGATTATAGTACTTCCCTACTTGGCTTATTCAGCTGCCACACATTGACAAGCAGGAATGTATGTTCCACGTGGGAAATTGGACGAACTTCTGAGGTATCTGACCAACCCAAGAGCGAAAACTTTAATGTAATCAACATTGAGAGTTCTCCCAAGGAAATGGGCCAGCCAGATCACCCTGGTGAAGACCACAGCCACTTTCACAGTGTTTCTGGAGAACCAATTAGTGTCACACTCTTGAGTATGAGCAGATAGGCTGTCCTCAGATATATGAAGAAAACCTTTAATACAAAAGACAGAGACCAACATAAGCAAGGATAAAAAAAATTTAAAAACTTAGAAAAAACAGAGATTATGCATCAAGAAAAAATCAAGACAAAAAAAATTAATATCCTCAGAGACTTAAGATATTGTATTTGTGAAAGAATATGTAATTTTAAGAAGTAAACAGAAAACAAACATGAGACTTTTAAAATGAAAGCATATAGCAGACATTTTTAAAAACTCAATATATAAAAAGAGAAAGAAATCAAAACCAGGAAAGATGCATTTTCTCTTTGCTCAGATTGTTCGAAAATGGTGACTTGTTTCATGCTTTTTTAAATTTGTGTCAGGGGCACCTGGGTGGCTCAGTGGGTTAAAGCCTCTGCCTTCAGCTCGGGTCATGATCCCAGGGTCCTGGGATCAAGCCCCGCATCGGGCTCTCTGCTCAGCAGGGAGGCTGCTTCTTTCTCTCTCTCTGCCTGCCTCTCTGCCTACTTGAGATCTCTCTCTGTCAAATAAATAAATCTAAAAAAAAAAAAAAATTGTGTCTACTGCATGTTTTAACATGATAGATGGAATGCATTGTGTAGCTATAGTTTTCTGGAAAAGTCAGTCTTTCTGGAATTGTTTTTCAGATCTTCAGTAAGTTTTTTCCTTTAAATTACAAAAAAAGGAAGAAGAAGAAGAGGCTTCTGGCTGGCTCAGTCAGAAGAGCATGTAACTCTTGATCTCAGGGTCATGAGTTCGAGCCTCATGTTGAGTGTACAGATTACTCAAAAACAAACAAATAAAATGAATTAGAGAACCAGTCCAAGAAGTCCAACATCTGAATAATAAGAGTGCTAAAATGAGGTAACAAAGAAAATGGGGTGTGTGTGTGGAGGGGGGTGTGAATCAAAGACATAATTTTTAAATTTCCCAAACCTGGGGCCCCTGGGTGGCTCAGTCGGTTGGGCGGCTGCCTTCAGCTCAGGTCATTGATCACCAGGTCCTGGGATCGAGCCCTTCGTCGGGCTCCCTGCTCAGCGGGAGTGCTTGTTTCTCCCTCTCCCTCTGCCTGCTGCTCTGCCTACTTGTGGTCTCTCTCCATCTCTCTAATAAATAAATAAAATCTTTAAAAAAAATAAAAATAAAAAAAATAAATTTCCCAAACCTGAAAGATGAGAATTTCCACAATGAAAGGGGTCATTAGGTACCCAGCCTGACAGATGAAAATAGGCCCACATTAATATACATCATTGAAAATTTTCAATATTCTGGGGACAAAGAGACAATCCTCTAAATATCTGGAGTGGGTCAAGGAATAAAAATATTTTTTACAAAAGCTCAAGAGTCAGAAAGGTATTGAACTTGTTAAAATTAGTTCTGGATGCTAGGAGATAATTTCTTCGAATACCCTCTGTTTGCCTTCCCTAGAGAATGA